TTATTGTATCATATCTAAGCTAAATATTTGAAATCATATAACTTACTATATGAATTTATAGAATAAGAATCCTTAATTTTTATACAAAATCAAAAAAAAGATAAAAATTACATATAAATTTAAATGTAACAATAACAACAAAGAAAAATATATCAACACAACGAATAAATTAGAAAAATATATAAACATAGGGTGTACCCTTGTTACAACATACACAGGTAAATCAATCGATTTTAGAATAGTGCCGACTTAAACACATTTTCTCTGATACTATTTTTTTTTTTTACCTTAAATAAATAATATTGTTTATGGTCTGACTCAGCGTGTGTTCAAAGTCTTATGCATAAACAAACATTGTGTTGTTTTATTATTTTATTCAACAATTCATACATTTTTTTTTATAATTAAACTATCTTAACATAGTCCGAGAGACTGGCCTGGTCTCAATTCTCTTGAGAAGCGTATGCAGCTCGAGAGATCCAATTCAAACAGAATAACTACAATATTATAAAGTGATAGAACTTCGCGTATTTAATACTACCATTATGTAATCATTTATCGTTAAATTTGTAATAGATTCCGAACTTGTAAATTTTTTTTTTAAGACACATTTGCAGTTAATTTCATGACGTATACCATGTAAACCTTCCTACTGGAAATTTTATAGTAAGATTCACTAAGCGAAAAACTCTGACTGTACAATGCTAATTACCTATGCTTATAATATATTAGACGGTTTTGTGAGAAAGGGTATAGACATGTTTTTACATTGTTCGTGTTCAGACATCAACGCTATTCGTTTGGATTAGAATTCAACGCCGCTATCGCTTTGGTGAGACACTGAATCTCGCATTCCCCTAACAGCTACTATAAACGTGCATTTGGGTCAATCCATCAAGTCAAAAAATAACTGCAATAGTTTTTTTATATTAATAAGATCATTAAATAGACACTTTAATAACTGAATTAAATAGGCCATTCAGAATTACTGGCTTCATCAAGTATATGTCAATCAGAGTCCACAATGAGAACAACGCACAATGGTTACATCAATTACTTATTAACGTGGCGGTGACATTAAAATATCTATGATAAATATTTATGATCAAGATTGTATCATTTTGATTTTCATCTCATCAATGTATTTAAACGACAATTTCATAAGTCCTAGTTTATAAGTAAACGTACGAAATAATTACTAGCAGATGAAAACTGTTTTCAAGTATCTTTTTAACACAGTTTTCTCGCGCACTAATTATTGAATTAATTATAAATAAAATTTGATAGTGTTTAGCAATTACAGATTCTGACCTTTTTAAGAAACGTAAAGGAAAAATAGATCTTAATAAACAAAGAAGAATCAAACTGAGGAACATATTCAATGACCATAACGTTGACACTAAAGTAGTCCAAGATCTATGATATATGATAAAAAACACATTTTCATTGAATAATATATTCACTTGGAATTTCGATGTTCTCGCCAGCATAGGAAAACTTATACTTATATTTGTAATACTTTCGAAAGTAGGTAAGAATTTACCAATTTACCGATTCATCCATACGTGTAATCCCAAGTGGCCAGAGATCAAGGATAATTGACAGTTTCAGAAACGGGGTGATTCACATGCCTAAATTATACTGATTATTCTGCAAGATATATCTCACAATTTGTACTCATCAATTATTTTAGAAATACTTAGTTATCAGTAACTTAGAAATATGCACTACTATGAAAAGATTTCAATATTTGGTTATACCTAAATTTATAAACACCACGATACTGTCAAGTCATAATTCATCGAAACCAACGAGATTCCAACTCTCAATTCGTATATTTCTATCAACTTACGATAGTGACACTAAATCGTACAATTTTTCTTTGTTTAAGGTTTATCAAATAGCCGTTGCGTAAGTTCGCCCAGTGTCTTATTATTGAGATACTCACTGGGTCTTGATATTGGAGTGTAGCCACTCTTTCCCACGTTTAAGGAAGAAATAAATATATTTTATGCAAGTTTGAGGGATACTCTACGTCTAGTTCTAGACACATCCCGATTGAGAATTTGTCAATTTTACTATACAGCAGGTTTTTTTTTTTTTGATAGGTAAACATCGGTTTCCTTTCGAAAAATGTCGGTAGACAATGATTTTTACACAGCCATAATCTATGTTCTACGGTTTATTTAATCAACTAAAAAAATTGATGTCCTTGTAAAAGAAATGGGTTTTAAAATTTTAAAATCAATTGCAAAATATGTTTACACATTTAAACTCGAAAATATGAAAATAGTGTTTAAGTATTAAATACGCGATAGTATAAACACTTAATAAAATATGCTGTGTAGTTATTTGTCGTTAACTGCGTACTTAAAATTTTCAGAAACTTCCGAGAACTGCTGAAATATATGATTTGAGCTAAACGAAGACATGTGTTACGAATATATTAAAGAAAATATATGAAATACAAAATTGTGTTAGTTATATGAAGACAACAAAGATGATATCAGACGAAGTCATTTACAGATTTTGTTGGTGGTAGTTAAATAATTATAAGTAAGTCAGTTTTCACATAAGAGTCGCAACGGTTTTAAAATTAATCAAATAGTATTACTCAGAACATAGCGCATCAAATTTAAAAACTCAGATTTACCGTTGGAAAGTCTGTAGGATTTCAGAACGATGAAACATCGTTGAGTTTATAGTAAAATATTACTTAGTACTTGTTTTTTAAGGATTGTTTAAATTCAATAGAATATTATGATATAGTTTAAAAAGAGCAAATAAATATTATTGAACCAATGCCCACTGCTCGAATTTCTTGCATTGCTAGATTGCATTAAGGCAATTTATGTATGCGCCACCATATAGTTTCAGCCAATTACATTAAAATAACAAAGTTTTCTTGTATTCATGAGTTTTCGTTATATAGTCTATAATTTACACAGTGAAAACTAGTTTTTATAAGACAATTTTTTTATTTATGTTATTATAGACTGGAAATATGATTTGACATGGATAAAGTGTTTATATTCTAGCAATGAAAGACATTCAAGGAGTGGACGTTGGTTCAATAATTCTCTTCCACTCTTTAGAAAACATATTATAATATTCTACTGAACTCAAACACTTCTTTAGAAACAAGTACTAAGTAATACTTTACTATAAACTCCACGATGTAACATCGTTCTGAAATTATACAGACTTTCTGACGCTAAATCTGAGTTTTTAATTTTGATACGTAGTTCGGTGTAATGTTCTTAAATTAATTTTAAACCCGTTGCGGCTCTACGTGAAAACTGACTTACTTAAAATTATTTAAAAACTACCACCAACAAAATCTGTACATGACTTCGTCTAATATCATCTTTGTTTTCTTTATAAAACTAATACAATTTTGTATTAGATATTTTTTCTTTAATATGTTCGTGACACATTTCCTTCGTTTAGCTTAAATTATATATTTCAGCAGTTATCGGACATATCTAAAAATGTAAAGTAGGCAATTAACAACAGAATAACTACAACATATTTTATAAAGTGATTATACTGTCGCGTATTTAATACTTAACATTATGTTTCATATTATCAAGTTTAAATGTGTTAACAGATTTCCAATTGATTCCAACATTTTAAAGCCCTTTTTTTTTATAAGGACATCATTTTTTTTGTTTTGTTTAAATTAATCATTAGACGTAGAATATGGCCATGTTGAAACCTTTACCTACTGGAAATTTTCACTAGTAAACGGATAATCACTAAGCGAAAAACCCATACTGTACAATGCAAATTACAAATGCTCAACCGGGATGTGCCTAGATATAGACGTAGAATAAAAAGGGTAGCCCTTAAAAGGGCTGTTTTTGCCGACATAGCTGTGGGTCCTAGGACGTTTGGCTGTCAGGTCAACGCTGATTCGTTTCGTGCTCTCAGAATTCAATCGCAGTATAATAACTTTGATTAAGAATTAAGACAGGACTACTCGCAGGGGAGACCACGTGAAGGTTCAGCATACCTCCCCCAAGGAAGACTGCTATTGCATTTGTGTCACAATGCCATCAAGTCAAAAAATAACTTGCAATAGTTTTTTTATTATATTTTAATAATATCATGTCAAAAATAGACACTTTAATAAATGAATTAATAATAGGCCATTCAGAATTACTGGCTTCATTCTCCAAGTATATTGTCAATAACAGAAAAGATCCCCACAATGATTGTACAACGCACAATGGTTTAGTCCACTCAATAATACAAATATTTAACGTGGCGGTGACATTAAAATATCTTTATGATAAATATTTTATGATCAAGAACTTGTATCATTTTGATTTTTATCACATCATCAACTGTAGTCGTTAAACGACAATAAATTGTTTTAAAATTCAAATCTTAGTTTATAATAAAGGTTAAACGTACGGTAACTTCAACCTTTAACAATAGCAAAGTTGAAAACAATTATTAGGTTTCTCCCAAACTTGGAACGTTTTTGGACATAATTTTCTCTTTCGGTGTACAATGACTAATTATTGAATTAATTATTTTTAAATAAAATTTGAATAGTGTTTAGCAAGTTACATATTTCATTTTTAGTACACATGTAAAGAAAACAGTCGTTTCTTTAGCCATAATTTTAATTTAATAAAGCTTTATAAGATTAGGATTACTTTCAATTTTTATAAGCATGATTAATGAACGTGACACAACTTTTATAATAGAGTAGTCCAAGATCTATGATGTATGGTAAAAAAATACATTTTCTTGCGTAAAATTCGAGAGGAATAGTATTGTGACAAATTTATCGCTGATATTTCGTACTAATAGTTTTACTAATAATCTCTGGTTTATGTTGGCCAGAATGTATTATGAAATTGCACGACAACCGATAGATATTATTATTTTAATTTTTTTTTACACACACAAATTTCCAACCGATAACGAAAACAACAGTTTACGAATGTGGACAACGATTTTTTATTGAATTTAACAAATTATAAAAAATGGATTCAGAGAGTCACCGGACGGACGGGGCTAGTACGACCACCGGGTGGTCTCGGCGGTCTTCGCGCATTGTACCGAACAACACAGTGGTGTGCGTGGCCCAGGACGATTCGATAAACATTGAACTTGTGTACTACACGGCCATGCTGAAGAAATTCGCGCCGAACTTGAGCAAAGAAAAAGACAAGGAAAAAGTCATACCGTGGATCCGGAAGCTGTACGCGGCCGAGTACGCGACCGAGTACTTCAAGACCAAGCGCAACCGGTATCTGTTCACCATGATCTTGTCGATACTCAACGACGAGATGTACGGCGTGTTCAAATCGCCGCCGCCCAACGGCCCGCTGAAGAGCCCCGACAGTTTCGCCGTCGCCGTCATGCCGTTGGCCACGTGGGAGATGGACAGCATGTGGGAGGAGATGTTGAAGGGCGAGGACAACAACCACGCGGTCGCGCAGTGTTCGATGCACGCCGAGTGTCCGCCGGAGGAGCCGGACGAGGAAGAGACGGAAATCACGGCCGACATGGCCGATGAGGAGAAGCAGCGCATCGCCGACGAGAACGACAAGAAGAAATTGGAAAAGTCCAAGAAGAAAATCTTCAGCTCGCTGCTCGACTGGGAGTTCCAGTATCTGCTGCACGTGGCCCGGCCGTACGCGGCGTTGATCACGTCGCCGCAAGACAAGACCCGCGTGGCCAAGTGGTTGCAGAAGCTGTGCGGCGTCCGCATCGAGACGGCGTGTCTGAAAATGAAAGGCGTCCGCAACGATTACATGATGACGCTGCTGGGCTACTTGTACGATCTGAGACTGACCGGGCCGTTCGAGCATCCGCCGCCGGACGGTCCGCTGGAAAGCCTCAACAAAGCCATGGACAAACTCAGAGACAGCTTCCCGCTGACCGTCCCGACGCAGAACGACGTCAACGAGTTTCTGGCGGGTCAGCCGGCACCGGCCGACGGCGGAGCCTTCTGCTACATAGCCATTAGCGGCGATTTACAAGCGACCAATCTGATCAAATCCAAACCGATACAAACTAATAGCTGTTCGAAATGACACATTAACAACAACGAAATATATCAAATACCAGCTGATGTGTATATTTTTACTTGTCTTGTTCTTGGGCATCCACTAGTCCTTCTCCCTCCCAAGATCTTCCCCTCGATGATATTCCTAATGAATAGGTCTAAAAAAATATCCTATTAGTTTCGTTTCGATACGAGTTTTATTACATTCCTTTTTTCTCCTACGTGACCTAACCTAACCAATGTAGAGCATTGTATATTGTACCGTTGGGTATATAGGGAAAAAAAACAAATCTCATAAACAACACGACTATTTTCTGATTAATTATTTATGTTTTATTTAATTGCTTGCAGTGCAAATGCAAAAGACCATCGGATTTATTCCTCTTCATTCCTCTGCGGCCGGAAGAGATTTTCGAGTGTTTCTGCGGCGCCAGAAGGCGGATAGAAGGAAGTCACCAGATGGCCTAATGCAAACCATTAAATTGGCCACATGTATATTTCACAACTGTTTTTGACCCGCAAACCATGAAAATTCATATTCACTACCAAATATCAATATCAAGAAACTGCAATATGTGAACGCACCCCAAAATGAAAACAGATAGAATTTCTTATATAATAACAATCACGGTTCTATTATATTTTTTTTGCGATGACAAACAAAACTTTAACCTAGATAACAAAATTTACTACCCCGACACTCTAAATAAAATTGTTATTAATAACTATCAAATAGGTCTTACCAAAGGGCTGACAACTGAAAATATATAAACAAATCAGGAAAACGACGCAAAAATGTTTCAAAAAAAAAAAAGAAAGGATTAAAAAGTAAAAATAATGTAGTAAAACATTAATAACATAACTTTTGTATTTAAAAACGTGTATACTTTCAATAATATTGTCTCGTTTTTTAACAGGCAATAGATTTAAACAGTATGAGTGATGATGACAATTCAATAATCGGCTTAGTGTTTTAGACTACTACGAGTATGGTGAAATCAGTAGTTGCGGCAGTGAACAACAAATGAAACAAGACACGGCTTTGTCTCAGCTCCCTACCAGTGATATTTGCATGTTTTCAATGGATTTAAAACAGGTCTTATCTTTGCCTTCATTAACGCATTATCAAATGTTTTACTTGCGTCAGTTATCCTGTTACAATTTAGGTGCACATTTTGGTGACAGTAACAGAGGGCACATGTTCTTATGGCACGAAGGTATGAGTGGCCGCGGAGGAAATGAAATCGCTTCATGTGTTTTTAAAGCATTAAATTCTAATCCAACAGTGAAACGTAAACTAACTATTTGGTCTGATAACTGTGTGGGCCAAAATAAAAACAAAATGCTATTATTTCTATGGATATATTTAACACTCACAGATAAATTTGACGAAATTAATCATAAGTACCTAGTGTCTGGCATTACTTTCTATCCTGTGACAGAGATTTCGCCCAAATTGAAAAACGTAAAAGGGTTGAAAAGTGTGAAGTTCCAATGGACTTGGTAAAACTCATTGTCCACGCCACACCAAATAACCCGTTTATTGTCACTTTATTAGAACCCAATAATTTCTATGATTTCAAAAAAGCAGCAGACATGTACTTAAATACTGGAAAACTTCAAGTTTCAAAATGTTCTTGGCTTAAAATAACAAAAGACAAGCCCGGTGTGGTGCATACAAAGACTACCTTCAGTGAACTTGAAGCTTGGAGCGCGTGCAAAGTTATCAAGAAAGGTGTGAAAGTTAACAAAATAAAAGAGATGGATTTACCGTCCTTGGTATGTGAAAATAAAATATTGACGCGGTCGCACCGCGATCCCAGCCAGTGGCGGATCCTAACTACATTCGTCACCGCTGGGTGCCGACCGCATCTCTTACCTTAGTCCGTCAGGTCGCGAGTCGGCAGCGCGAACCGGTCGCCGCCGCCGCCGCCAGCTGACCACCACTTCCTGTGTGGATACCGTTTCGACGATACGTTTTGTTACAAAAAAAACCATATGTTTATTTTGTTCAAATAAACGCAAATGTATACCCAAAAACTGAACACCAGTGTACCCTCCATTTCAATCCCCATCTATCTCGACCACAACATTTGGCGCAGTCGGACTGGCAATTAACAATAAGGTAAGTGCAAAATTAAAATTTTTTTTTTTTGATTTATATCATAAATTTTGTTTTTTTTTTGCGCACCTCTTAAATTTAATTGTAAAGAACCTAGCTTTAAGCGGGGCATAGAACTCAGTGTGTACTCTACAGAGAAAGTTCTTAGTTTTTTTTTCTTCAAAATTCTCTGGGGATAAGTCGTGTACTTACACGTAAACTTAAGTGAGCCCAATAGGATAGAGTATACAGCACGTGCTATAAATAGCTTAGACAAACCCGTAGACCGCTGCTTGCCGCTCGTATAACCAATAAATTATTCTCCGTTATTGCTTGACCATAATCAGCAACTTGTCAGGTAAAGGTCTAACCGATCTGACAATACCGGAGTTAAAATACAAGTTGGGGCAGCGAGGAGTAGAGACGGGTGGTAGTAAGACGGACTTATCTCTTCGCTTGGAAGAGTACATCCGCACGGAGGAGGGGGTAAATCTCCTTACGGTGAGGTTCCACTACGCCGAGCGTAACCCGGACCTTCCCCAACCGGCAACACATACACCCTCCCTAAACGTCGACAGTGTAACCCTACTGGAGTTGGACTCCGATAACCGGTTAATCGAGGAGGGGAGGAGATGAGTACGTTTGGGGACAAGCTAACCAGTGTATATGAGGTGATTGACGAGCTGTTCACGCGTATGGAGACGATGGATAAATGTCTACGTGGACAAAATGTCATTATCACCGGACAAAACGCGGTGATTGCCGGTCTTCGTCGGGACGTAACCGACCTCCAGAGAGAATTGTCCGGAGAGAGAGACGTTCGCCGAAGAAATGTACGGTTTCCGGAAGGGGAAACCTTTATATCGCGAACGCACGAGACTTCCGGCGAAAGAAAACCACCGGAGAATCGAGTTCTCCGGTGAGAACCACCGAACAAGCGAATCCTTCGGTGAAAACGACCGGACAGCCGAACTCTCCGGTGAAAACCACCGGAGAACCGAAATCTTCGGTGGGACCATCGGAGAAGTGAATTCTCCGGTGAAAACCACCGGAGAACCGAAACCTCCGGTGAAACCTTCGATGAAAACAGCCGGAGAGACGTGTCCTTGGGGCAGAACTCCCGGTACCACGAGAACTCCTTCGGTCCTAATGGGAGGAAAATGAACGAGTCCCCAGAAATGTTTCGTAATTCGACGAGAAGGATCCAGTTCCAAAAGACGACCTTGATTTTTCAGGACAACCTGAACGCGGCTCGGGCATCGCTGCTGGAGTACTCTGGGAAGCGGTATGAGGACCCCCTCAAATTTATAAACGAGACGGAGGACATCCTCGAGGAAATCGGCATCCAGGAACGGAGGTGGGTTAAAGTGTTGACCCACCAGCTCAAAGCCGAAGCCGGAACTTGGTGGGGGACCATACGGTCCATAGATCCCAACTGGTCAGAATTCCGACGATGTTTCCTCCGGAAATTTAACAATGAGGAAATTTTAAAACGACTCCGGAGTGAACTTCTCAGCGAAGAGCAGGGCAAGACACAGCCCAGTGAGGAGTTTGTTTTAGGCAAAGTCCAACTGTCACGACGAGTGGAAATTGGCCTTACTAAAGGTCATTTAAAGGAACACCGTTGGACTGATGCGGAGGGAACTCCGAATGCTGGTCGATTTGCACGACCCTCTAACTCTGGAGGACCTCCCAGATGTGGCAGCAAAACTGGACGTGCATGGCCCGGCATTTTCATCACAATCTACCTATCACAAGGGCTATAAAGAGCCCGTGAAAAATAAAGGAGGTTGGAAAAACTACTCGGAGCGTCCGGCTGAGAAGCCGAAAACCTAACCGTTCCCCGGGTCATTATCGGCCGGAGTGCCCGAACAATGACCAGAACCAGGGAAACGGACGGAAGGCCGGCGGATTCACGGGAAAGGTCTTAAAAAGGATGAACTCCCAGGTTACCGAAGAGCGGGCGGACGTATCCGATTATGATACCAAAATCAACCCGAACAAACCGGTAACCACCACAGTTATGCCGAAGATGTTCGATAGCCGGAAGTTTAAAGGCAAAGTGTCCGAACACTTTTTTAGAATCTTTTATCTTTTGGCTAACAATGGCGAACAAACCTTTTTTTTCGGTGCTTTACGTATATGACGAGACGGAAATCCCTTTTCGAAATATTTGCGCTCTTAAGGTTTTCGATCACAAAATTGAAGAGGTTTGCCTGAATGTTACAGAACGTTTGGAGAAGAGAGATGACATAGTCCTTGTTCTTAAAAAACACGCTAGTATTTCCTTATATTTGGCTGAGAAGGATCTGATTTTATGCATGGGCGCTAACGGATTTAAGGTTGTAAATCCGAAGCGCGCGAGAGGTATCAACTTTGAGATGTTGAGGGCGACTATGGCGAGAGTTACTTTGCTAGGTGGTGCAGACGCTAATATATACGCTTCTACTCGTGAGATACTACCAACAGAAGGCGTGCTAAAGGATGGAATATTGGTACTGCCTGATTTCGCAACTTTACTAACGAAGGATAAATTAGACAGCAAATTCGAGGAAAGAAGAAAAAGACGGGAGGCCCGTTTCAATCCCCATCTATCTCGACCACATCAGTCGAAAAAAAAAGATCTTCAGCAAATGCTACCATTTCTAAAAGAAGAAAATAAAGAATTTTTCGAAAAATTAATTAAGTATTGAAGCTATTTTTTTTTCTATGTTTTTTATTATTTGTAAAAACTTAAGTCTAATATTACCAAAATATCTGTATTTAAGATCTATTAAATTTGTAAAAAAATAAAAAAAATTCTTTGGCACTTGGCTCGTTTTTTACCGATATATACTGCTGTGACTGAAAACACGTTTTATCATTTTTTTAGTATAAGATTTTTTTTTTTATTTAAAGGGCGAAATAAAACTTATATTTTACATGAGTAGTGTTAAGTATAAGTTATTAAAGGGTATTACATTTTTATTGACATTTATTTTTACAATTTTCCTCTGGTTTCAAAAAAATTGTGAATAATTCAATATCAACTTTTTGGCACTTAGCCCGTTATTGAATTCAAGTCCTCAAATACAAATGTTTAAAATGGTAATACAAATTTATACAAATTGAGTACTAATTTTTGGCATAAAAAAAAATGTAATTATCTCGTTATTTGTACTGGGGGGGTCTGGAGAAACGTTTCTCCAGCCCCCCCACAGTTTTTTCGTTTTTCCTTGTAAACTTAAGTTGTACAAATTTTTTAAAATTGTCGTACAAATTTATACAAATTGAGTACTAATTATTGGTATTTTGGTTTTTAAAAAATCCAACTATAAAATATGCCAAATTTCATAATTTTGGTTTAAAAATGTTAAATGCGTGACTGAACGGGTTAATGGAACCCGTACAA